AATCTATGAATCTATGAGTTTGTCAATGACTTGAAAACTAAGTAGGAATCTTCCAAAAAATGGAAATGTGGCAACATTCTGGAGGATGAGTACAGGAGTACATTAAGGGCATGCAGAGGAAAATCTTGAAAGCCAAGGCACAAATTGAGATACAGCTATCAAGTGGCATAAAAGACAACCAAAAAACATTCTCTAAGTATGTTAGAAGTAAAAGGAGGATCTTTACTGAATGCAGACAATCAGCTAGTAATGGATGATGCAGAGAACGCTGAAATGTTTAAGGCCTTCAATCTTCACAAAAAAGTCAACTATCAGATGACAAATGTAGTCACTGTCAAGCATGAAAGAAGATAAAATACACAGAATAGGGAAAGAAAAAGTTAGAAATTACATAGTTGAGCTAGAGGCAAGAATTTCTGTCGGTGATAGCTTTTAACTGGACCAACATGGTTTATCTACATGGTTGAAATAAACAAGCTTTCAAATACCATGCATTCTTCCTCAGCTCTTCTAGTTAAACTAAATGTTTTCAGGTCAGTAGTTCTTTGTTGCTTTGGGAAATAAGATTAATTGCTGAGAGTTTACAGAAAGTGTAAAGGACTATTGTTCATATCATCAAGGGATATGAAATCCAGCATTCCTGAAGTACCTATCCTGTCACCTGTGCTCCAAAATGGGGCCTTTTGGAGAAGTCAAAATTAAGCATAGCATAGAGAGTATCATATTGATATACTGATATTGGGCCTCTAAAGTTTGGCACCAAAGAGATACTAATACCAGATGGCTGAATTTGAACTGCCTTGGTATGCCCTTGAAAATAAAAGCCCAGATTCTTCCCAGAGTATTTCAGGATTAGTTTAGTGGAAAGAGTGCCACACACATCAGTGTGCAACCTCCTCCACCCCCTCCAAAAAACAAACAAAACCCAACAAAAAACAAAACCCAAACAAAAACAAAACAAAAAAGCAATCCCATAAAATATCTGAATAAAACCTGAGTCATGTGATGTATGCTGCCCCTGTGCTTTGCACTAGAAGATGCTAAGAGCCTATCACACACATAGAATCATAAAAAAATTAGGGTTGGAAGGGAACTCAGGAGGTCATCTATTCAACCCCCTTGCTCAAAACAGGACCATCCCCAACTAGATTGTCCCAGCCAGGGCTTTGTTGAGCTGTGTTTTAAAAACCTCCAAGGATGCAGATTCCAACCTCTCTAGATAATCCATTCCAGTGCTTCACCACCCTCCTAGTAAGAAAGTTTTTCTTAATATCTAACCTAAACTTCCAACTTGAAAGTTGCTATCAAATACCCCCTCAGTCGTCTCTTCTGCAGACTAAATAAGCCCAGTTCCCCCAGCCTCTCCTTGGAAGTCATGTGCCCTAGCCCCTTAACCATTTTCATTGCCCTCTGTTGAATTCTCTAACTTTTCCACATCCTTTTTGTATCTTTTGAGATATGCACTGAGAAAGAGAATATGCAGGAGACAGAACTTTGTGAAGTATGTGTCCTTAAAGCATTGTCAGAAGCATGCAGCTTTCAGCTTTTGTTAAGCCATCTATTTTGAAATTCATGGGATCCACAGAGCTAACAGGATACATATACCAGGGAACACATAACCACTGATGCTCAATGAGTGGCCCACAGGGAAGCTACTCTTAATACACAGAAATTCAAAGACTCAGGGCACCTGAGATCCAGTAAGCAGGGTGCCAACTGAAGATCAGCGGAGCTGCAATGCACCAAATGTTTTCAATGTGCAATAAGGCCACACACCAATGAGACTCAGTGGAGGTGTCGACATGCTAACATATTTGACACAGGCGCTAATGTGCCAAGGACTTTAATGAAGTACATGCATGCAGAAGAGCTGGCAGAGGAGCAGAGGCCCCAGTGCACAAGAGACACAATGCAGACAACTTTGGAAAAGATGTGATGGGCAAAGGAATTTGTACAGGCATTAAAAGACCCTGGAATGTGATAAGTGCTAGAGGCAGGAGTTGATACACAGAGGCAAATGATGCACTGGGGACATAACTGGAGTGACTGAAGCAAATAGCTCAGGGAAGCACTAAGAAGCTGATGTATTTAAGGACAACTGGGTCTTAAGTCTTTACTCACCTAATTCTACCTTACTGGGATCACACAGTTCTACCTTACTGCCGAAGACAAAGATATTTCTGTGTATTTGAGGCTACACAGTGTTCAGCATACCAAGTCTTTTTCCAACCTCATAAAGGGTTAATTTAATGCTGGCCAAGTTCTTATGTAGAGGGCAGATGGAAGCATTACATAGCACCCTCTCCAGGAATATACCATGATGTATCAAGTTTTGCTGGAAGCCCAAAAGGGCTATCAAGTGGATGAAACTCGGATGTACCATCAGGCACTAACTCCTCTGATTTGCTTTCCGCTGTGGCCGGTAAGGAGTCAGAAAGTGAAAGATATTAAAAGAAAAGCAAGAGGCAAGCAATTCAAGCTGCTTACAGATATTAAAAAAAAAACAGAAAATCCCAGAGCTTTACTTTAAATTGGAGCACTACTATGCCAAGCCCAGTGCATGCCCAGAAGATGCATCACATTAGTTGGACCCAGCTTGCCTGACTTCTGTGTAGTTTGGGCTCTTTAGTGAGGCTTTTTGGGCACTTATATCTAATAGCTGATTGCATCAGCTTTAAATAAAAGCACTACAAATCCCCACTGAAGTGCCTGATCTATACCAATGCTGCAGAGTCAGCTCAAACTAATGTGCTGCTGCTTCTGGTAAAGCGTGTTTTTGGGTTTTTTTTTAAAATGTCTGTAAGCAGCCTCAGTGTTCAAGTAAAAAAGGTAGTTTAGCAGGTGAGCGAGAGTAAGTGGCAGCCATGGTGTAGCTTCCTCAGCCCAATGCTCTGAGATAAATTATAAATGTAAAGCCCAAATTTCTGCCCCTACTACATTTGTTGACAAAGTCAGCTGTGCAGTACTAAGAGCTGTACATGCATATGACATACCCTGTAGGGTCCAGCCATTCAATAACATGCCTATGGACAAGTGCCCAGTCACACTCTCATATATATAGCCATGAATAGCAGTATGTAGTAAAGAAGGCTTAGCAAAATATCCAAAAATATCATAATAGTATGATATATTCCAATGTATCAAATACAAATGAAAAAATATGTATAGAAACAGCAACAGAAATAGGAATGGAAATAAGTATTTCTTATTCACCTGATAAGGTGGGAAGTAAGTTAGCCATCTTTCTATATGGGTGGCATACCATCCAGGTACTAGACATCTCTTCTGTAGAGCTCTAAGCTCTGATGGAGCTCGAGGTCCAGCTGTGACCACCTGATAGAAGCTAAACTTTAGAGCTGTGGGGTCTTCATGCGATCGTTGATGCTGTGAAAAAAAAAGTTAAATTACAGGAACATCATGAATATTCAAGTTCAAAGTCAGGGAAATAAGACAGAATAGGGGTGGATAAACACTGTTAACCATCCAAACACCAGACCAGTATTAACCATGACAAATCTGAACACACAAAATAGATATTTAGTTCATTGTAAACCAAACCCAACATAATGAACTCAAATATGGTAAAAATCCATACAGGGCCAAATCTTGAAGTCCTTACATGGTATATATTCAGAAAAAACTCTTACTGAAGAAGAGTTATCTTATAGATTAGGGGCATCCAATTGTTGGTCCGTGGGCCACAGGCAGTTCACAAGGGGTTAAATTGTGCCCACCTAGCTCCCATCTGCCTGCTGCTCCCCGGGGAGTTTCCGGACTCCAGTTCTAGCCTTTGGCTTCTGCATTCTGTGTCCCAGGGTTGCAGTGTGATACAGCATGGCCCAGGTAGCTCAGGATGAGGCTGGGGCTGTGTGGCATGCAGTAAAGTAGGGAGGGGGGCATCCATATGGGATCACTGTAATGGTGGGAGGGTGTCACAGGGCTGCAATGTGCAGTTGAAGGATGCATGGATATGCAATGTATCCAGAAAGTGGGGCATCCATACAGTGCATAGCCCAGGGCCCTGCAATCTCTGTCAGGGACATGTGACCCCCAGCGGCTCAAGATAGCTGAGATAGATAATGGATATTTTTTGCTTATGGGAACAGTAATAGAAATAATATTTATATACAAAGTATGTAAAATAAATCCTAAGGTCCTTATGCAGTATTTACTCTTACCTAATTTATCAAACTCCTATTGAAACCAAAGAACCAGAAGAAAGGGAACTCCTTTAGAATAAGGACCCACAATTAAAACTCAGAGTAGTATTGGACACATATCTGTCTGTTCTGAGCAGCTCCTACTCTTTCAAATAACTTGGGCATAGAGACCAGATGCCTTGGTGATAGGCAATACAACAACACTTACAGAAAAAATTATTTAATACAGGCAGTCCTCTACTTACATTTCGAATTACAATGTTTCGCACTTACAACGTTTATAAATTGACACCCTGTTTCAACTTTCTGACATCAGTTTCGACTTTACAACGCTTGATCTGATGCAATGCCATGCCAGCAAACAAGTTCTCTGCATCGCTCATCTCCCTGGAGGGCATCTGTCCAAACTTCTTTGGACACTTTCTTTAAGAAAGCCGACAAGACTCCAGAAAAACCTGCAGCCAAGACTCCTGAGAAGACTGCAGCCAAGAACCCTTCAAAAAGTCCAACCAAGAGCCTCTCAAAAAGTCCAGCAAAGTCACCTCAAAGAAGTCCTTCCAAATCAATACGATTGCTATTTACAATATAAATACATTAATGTAGCTATATTACTTATCTATAATTGATCGAGTACAAAATTCTGGGGTTTTTTTTGTGAAAATAGGGTATAGGGCCTTGGTTCAGGAACCAATTCCCCATTTATAACATTGTTTTTTATGGGAAAATTGGTTCCAAGTTACAACGTTGTGACTTAAGAAGTGGTTTTCAGGAACCAATTGTGTCATAAGTCCGAGGACTACCTGTACTGCATTGACTCAAATTCAAAGTAAGATTTTCTGCCCGGAATCAGCATGGGTGGAGGGGGGGGAGCCTCATCTTAGATTTGAATACAGACTCAGGATGGCTCAGCTTCAATTTCAGCCCTGGGTTTGGGGCTGAAGTCAGAGCTGAGCTGCTGCCTGCCTTGGGCTAGAGTGGCTTGTTTGGTTGGTGAGGGGAGGAGTGGGCTTGCAGCTGGAGGAGCATGGGGGAGACGCAGGGTCTGTAGGGGGGACTGGGAAAGACATGTATATGTGGTTTGAGGGGAATGTGGGGGATACTGCACAGCCTGCGTGCCACCAGCTGCCCCCTCCTCACCTTACCTCTGGCTTCAGTCCCTCCAGCCCTGACTTGCTGGCTGGGCTGGGGCTGGGCTGGGGCTGCCACTGTTGCTGACTGCCCTGGAGCCAAAGCAGAGCTGCAGCAGAATAGGAGTGGAGGAGGGTGGTGAGACAGTCATGGGAAGATACTCAACAGGGGGTATCTAGTCGGGGAGACAGGCGCAGTTATGGGGGGCAAAGGGCAGAGGGACAGGCAGGGAATGCAATGGGGCAGGAAGGCAAGGAGCAAGGTCTGGCCACTTACCCTCTGCTGCTGCTTTCCCTGCCACAGCAGAAAGGACAAATTTAAGACAACCTTCCACTATTTAGATCTATACATGGACAATTGTAACACACTTATAATTTTCCACATATAGAATCTAATTATTGGGGATCTTGGATCTGGGTTGTCTTGGCTTTGGGTAAATGCTGTAAAACAGATTACGCAGAGAGGTTGTGGAATCTCCAACCTTAGGGGTTTTCTTTTTTTTTTTTACAACCCAATAACATGAATGCTTCCTTGATCAAAATGAGGTGGAAGCTTGTATAACAATACCATAGTTATGGAGTAATTACTCGAGAGGTATAGGCTTTTAACAATATTTGTTCCATAGGCTGCTCCTGCTCTTAAAAAATGAAAGACTTTTAACCTTCAAAACTTGAATGCATTACATTGACCATTTATACCATAATCTGTCACAAATCCTTAAACCAATTGCTCATCTGTGCTCAGGGGCACAGCTGGGGGCAGGTGCAGTGATGCAGTTGTACCCCTTCCTCCTCTCCCTACAACCTGTGATTCCTGCTCCACCCAAATTTTGAAACCAGCTGTCTAGGAGGGGTAGAGACCTTTCTATTCAAGCAGTGCTGAGACAGTCAATTGAATCCAGGGCTCATTATCATCTACCTTATTCCTGCTAATCTCTCCCCAATTTACAGGTGTCAACAACCCTTTACCTTTTGTAATGGTTTTGGTGCTCTACTATTCAACCTATCCTTTCTTTTGAAATTTTGCTATTAGCCATTCCTGGTAATGTCTGTCTTCAATTTCACTGCCCTGTAAACTGTTTTTAGCTTTATTTAAAAACCTTTACTCAGTTGTGGTCATAATGACTCAGGTGTAGAAATAACAGACAGTGAAGTATTGAAGGCAATGTCAAAACACTTAGGCTTTTCTTTTATGAATCTGAATAAGATATATATATATAATTACTATGACTTCAGGACTGACACAATATCTTTTGATGATTTTGAATATTTTTTGCCTAATTTGTTGTGTTTTTTAAAACTGTATATATAATCTAGCATATCAGTGCACGTTCCAATACTATATTTGTTTTCCAATAGCTATATATATCTATATTTGTTTTTATAATTTATATATGTGAGATATATATATATATATATATATTTTTATATGTTTTAATAATATAGCACTTTCCCTCTAGCATATTAATAAAGCTTCTATGTTATCTTCAACTGGAAAAAATATGTTGTGTTCTATGTGCTGATGTGCTACACCATCTGAACCACTCTTTCGGAAATCTTAGATCCATCCATGTTTGTGCTTCATATTAAACTAAATTCATATGGACTATCCAGGTTTTCATCCATGTGCTTGTGAATTATATTAGAAATGTATTACTTTTTTGTCTAATTAGTCTGAATTATATTTGGGGATTGCATTCAAGTTTCTGATATGAAAAAAATCCTGTTCAACTTTAACCTATCTTTTTATATAATAACTCAGAGGGGATTATGAGCAGAATGACACTTCAGTAATATAGACCAGGATTATCCAACTTTAGTGTGGCCTGGGGCTGCACATGGTGTAGGCATGTAGCCTCTGGGCTGCATACTGCATTGGTGCCCCCCCTTCTCCAGATCCACTCCCATTACTTGGGCTGTGCTGGTGGTCCCAGTCCACCCGCCACTAAGTCTGTGCCTCCTCCCCATGAATGGGCTGCATCAGAAGCACTGGACAGCCCCGATATAGACTAAACTGTATAGTAAAATACTAATTTTTATTGTCTGCACTCTCCCAAAAAAATACTGAATCTGACATTGGATTTAAAAGCTGAATGCAAGTTAATTCAATTGTTACTTAGCTGAAATTTTCCAGTAGGAGATAACATTTTTCTGAATCTTTTCATGTTTTAATTCTCTTATCAGTCTAAGACATATGCAAGTGTTATGCATCCAAGCCTAAGTACATCAAATTAGTTACAGTGTGGGCCCATATTCCTCTGTTATGTCAGTTTAACAAATGTCAAAAAGGGTCTTTTTCCCCCAAGTTCACACCCTTGTTGGCAGAAGAATGAGGTCTTGACAAATAACACATGCGATTCTCACATTTAGTACATGCAACTGTCTGTATAAACATTCCTTTTGCACGTATGTATTTGTACTCAGAGTTGTGAAAATCGCAGGTGTTTGTACATTTTAAAGGAGTGTTGTTTCAAGTTTATATTCATAGGGAGTTTTTTCATAAATCCACTCATGATTGGTATTCCAATAAATATATCATTCACCAAAATCTGTTGCTTTTCAGTATAGAATGGATCCAAGTAACAAAGATTGCTTTGTATTTACTCAACTACAAGATGACCATGTTCTTCAAAAACCATACCTGATACCAGGAATATGCCCGATCTGATGGATCGATGAGAATGGTGATGATTCTGGCTTTGGGGATGAGGGAGGCTGCTCGTCTAGGAGCTTCCTCAGAATGAAAGTAGTTGGCACTTTTCTCAAAGAGAAAATCAGTGGTGACATTGGATGGTACTGGGAAGAAATCCATATACCTAGGAAAAGAACAGTGTCCTCAGAAATACTCAAAGGTCCTGAACACTGTAAAGCAAGGAGGGTTGATGAGCATGCTAAATAGATTTTATTAGAGAATAACCTAAAATAACAGACATCATCATTGCTAAATAAAATCAAACAAAACACTGTGTTGCATATTCTGACAACATTATAGGGTGCCAGGAGGTATTTTCTGATTGGGTATTAGCTGTGTCTGGCTGCTCAAAAAATCTGGTGGTTTTCATTTTAAAGTTTCCTGATGTTTACAATATAAAAGGCTTTCAGAAGCAACCTCTTTTTAGTGGACTGCCCTGAGTGGCTGAAATTCATCTAAGAGCACAGGTTTTGTGCTGGTGCTTTGTACAGAGGTAAATTTAACTATAACTATAACTATAAATAACATGGATAAAAATGGCTAAGCATCTGCACTGGAGTTTGAGGATAGTCTGTAGATGTTATCAGCTAGCAGACATCTCTTATTTTCTACACGTCAGATTGTTATCTGACACACAATAATGGATGTTCATTCACTGAACTTTGTAATAAGAATCCACTGCATCAATTATAACTCTATGAAAACCACACACCTTGAAAAGAAATTGTGTCTAAACCATCTCTACTCAGACCATATAACAGCCTTTGCACTATTAATTTTACAGATGAATACAGTCTATGGGAACCATTTTCCCTTGCACTGAGAAGTAAAGGAACAGGACAAAATATCAATAATCTTTTACTGGTGGCTCCCCACTTAATACTGCATATAGCTGTTTTTCACCTTTGAGCATTTCACTTGGCATCACTTTCTGAAGAAAGAAAATACAAGCAACTTCTTGCATAGGCTATGAGAATAAGATAGCAGCGATGCATTCTCTTTTCTTACTTGCTGCATTGCTGAATGTTTTCCTGGATGCTTGAGCCTTGAAAATATTTTTGAGAGGCTTTACTTTCGTCAGTAGCTGACTGCTAATATCTAATTTCTGTTTAGAGGGCAGAAAATAATGCCTGAAATTTTTATTAATGATTTCTTTTCTGTATTTTAGAAATAAGTTATTCAATTTGGAACATATTTCATGCTATCATATATCACACCTATAATGTTACTTTTATTGTCATCATTTCAAAGGTATGTGTGAAAGGAAATAGTATCTGTCACACAAATGTATAAGACTCTGTCTTTGAAGAGTTGCATCAATAAAAACACAATTCTGTTCTCCTTTTATTCATTAGCTGCACATTCTGAACATGCTAATATCTTGAGAGACACATGTAATTTTCCTTAAAATTAATTAGTATCTTACGATGGGAATAGATATCTCTTTATATGCTATATCAGCAGGAAAATAAACATCTTAGAATATGTTGTCTTTTATGACTGAAGTTACATTGTTCATAGACATTTTATTATCATTTTAAAAGAAAAGCAAACATAATTATCAATCTGTGTACACACACTTACATTACAAATATTTTGTATTGTCATTTTTGTATTGTGCACAGTATATAAACTTTATATTTATACTAATAACCCATCTTACCAATCAATCCCCCTGTGGTAGTTATTTCTATTAAAGAACTGTACCTCCTCAAAGGTTTTTGGGCTGGGGGAGTTACTAATGATGGAAGGATGCATAATCAGGAACAAATACAAAGCTGTGGTACCTGAAAATAGGATAAAGTCCAAAGATTAACTAAGCATATATATGTTACGAGGAAGAACCTGACTTGGTGTTAACTAGCATTGTCCCACTGAATTCAGTAAAACCAGACTGATTTATACCACCCACAGATCTGGTACTATATTTTTTAACCAAAAACTTTTAAAGAAACATGTATAGTTACTACAGAAGACTTGAGCTCCCCTGTGTATGACACATATAAGGAGGTTTTTTAAATGTGATTTGAAGAACAAACAATTGTTTCCAAGCTGAGGTTGTCATAAAAGGTATTTAAACTCTAGGTTTCCATTTAAACATTTTCACTATAGGTGACTGGTAGTACATGAATGGGAATACATGACAAAAGCAGCTTTCTCTTATCATGGAGAAGAGAAGCAGTAGTACATTTTATTAACAAAAAGTACCACAGCTTTACTGTTCTACCAGTCCTGCAGGGATTGCTTGCCCTGCAATGTAAATTCCACTGAATGACAATGAGTTCCTGTAAACAATATGCTTTTTTTGGGACCCTATGGATATTTTTATAGTGCTTCTGTGGCACTTAGGAGAGAATGACCAAGAAGCACGCCCTGCCCACCCATTTCTACTCTGTATGATGGTCATGACTTGGTGAAGCCACACAGGCTCATTCTCCACTCCTGCTCCTGAGATCTTGGTCTTTGGTGAATTTGAGAGAGTTAGCAGGAATCTTATCAGGGTTGTCTCATTTCTGGTTTGGCATGTCTGGAGCAGGAATGGGTGGGACAGGTGTGATTGTCAGCAGCACCATCAAGAACACTGCCCATGTGGTATGCAAATGCCTATAATGATTTTTTAAAAATAAATTACTCTCTTTCCTCCCTCAGTTCTGTTTAAATGTAATCAATCACTGTCACCAAATGATCTCTTTATCAGTGTTAATCACAATACTTCTACAAAAAGGCAAAACACTCTCCATTACATCATATTCTTAAATTGTGTAAAACCTGTTTTTATCATTCACATTACTGAGCTAAATTTGGATAATAAAAAAATATTACTGGATAATGCATATACAACACGGTAAGAGTGACTAAAATTAATTTGCTATTGTAGTCACTTGAAGCTGCATCACATTAAGATACTGTAAAATCTCACCAGTTTTCTGAGGTCCTATAACTAGGAATTTTGGTAATCGATCACAGGTTTTTTCTTTAGACCAGATATCTCTGTGCCGCTTGTCATCACAGGGATTCTAAGTGGGGAAAAAAGGAAAGACCGAGCATTTTATTCCTGATATTTGTTCATTATTTTTTTTTAACCTACACATATATTTCTCCAAGATTTAATCCATTGGTTACAAGACATCTGGTTATCTGCCTCTTATGATGGACACCTGTATGGGCCAGCTTTTGTCAAGTATATTTGTATAAATGGATTTACTTAAGATATACAATGTAACAGAAATGAGAGTCTAGGTCTATGAACTGATCTTTGTGTTAACAGAAGTTTTGAGGAAGCTATTGAAAATGTTTTGAGGAAATTGTATTGAAAGATGGAAAATACAATGCTCCAACCCTATCTTCTATATACACAAGGCTGTCATCCTTTAAAACAGAAACTGGACCAGATTTTTTCCTAGCATCACTTCATTGCACACAATGGAAGTGTGCCAGGGATGAATCTAGCCCATTATATTTTAGATGTGGGAATGCTTCCTAATGAGCTACTGATCATTTTCAGTATTTAGCACTTTTAGTTTTTATTTACTAAATTAAACAAGCCAAGCTCTTTTAGAGTTAGGATCCAGAGCTACAGCTAGATCTAGTAATGGACAAAGGGTGTGGGATCACAAAACATTTCATATGGAGGAAATAGGTTGTACTTTGTAGTAAAAGTGGAGTGGAGACACAAGACAGAGCATTACAGTGATGGAAGTCATTCTACTAGAGTGATGTTACCCACTACCAAATGAGGAGTAGCTATGCATTGGTGTAGGTTAACTGGTGTACTGCTTGTGAAATTGTTATCCTACTAGGCTGTTTGCAGACATTAAAAAACAAAAACAGTGCTTTACTTCAAATTCTGTGTGCTTCTGCACCAAGCCCAGTGTATCCTCAGAAGAAGCAGCATTTTAGTTGGATCCGGCTTGCCTGACAACTGTCTAGATCAGGCTCTTTACTCTGTGTGTGTGTGTGGGGGGGGGGGGGGGGGGGGGGGGGGTTT